GGAATGCCAACCACCACTCCTCAAAGCTTTGGGACTCAGCACCAGTAGAGGGCAGTCTGTGTTCAGCCGACTTGCTCTGGCCCACACCCTTTTCCAATGGCTGGTGAAGTTGCAAACCCAAATGATGCCTTTGTTTACACTCAACCCCGTGCTTGTCAGTTTGTGGCACTGTGGTAACTGCTGCTATGATGCTGGAAGCTGTGCTGTTAGGTCTCAGTTAAACTTTGCTTTTCATGTGGATCAAATTTAATCTTAGCTGTTTGTCTTATCTAAAGGGTTGCTATGAATAAAAATCAACGTGGTTTTGGTTTGGTATTTGCCTTAACACCCTGAACATAAAGTCTTTCTAAACATTTCAATCAAATGTCCCAATAACACTGGTCTGAGAAAACATTTCAATTAGTCTTCAGTCAATTCCTGGAGCCTTATAAACACCAATACTACTTTTCATGTGTGTGTGTGGTAACTGATCTGATTCTAAAAGAAATGATAAGATGTTGACAAATCATGCAATAAGAGATTGCCAATTATATCACAAAAGTCAGCCATGAAATTACAAAATCTTTGCTTTTTCCATTCTATACTGTTTTCATAGTAATTTTTTTCTAATTGTCATCAATCTCTTTAGCAATGAATTTATCCTGGAATGTTTTTTTCCTTTATTTTATTTTTATTGTTTTCTTAAATTATTAATCATTTTATTGGAGGGCTCTTACAAATGTTGTAACAATTCATCATTCAATTGTATTAAGCACACTTGTACATATGTTGCCATCAACATTTCCAAAATACTTTCTACTTGAGCCCTTGGTATCAACTCCTCTTTTTTCTCCTCTCTCCCACACCCTCCTAACCTCAGGAATCCTTGATCAATCATATATTGTTGTTATTTCACATCTTACACTGTTGTCTCCCTTTACCCACATTTCTGTTATTAACCCCCCTGGAGAGGGGAGGGCTATATATTTGATCTTGTGATCTTTCTACCCATCCCCCCTCAGCTCCCTACATGAAGTAGTTAGTTTATTGTGCCAACCTGGCCGATAAACACATGTGGGATTAATTGAAGGGCGGAGAGATAAATGGCTTGGAGAGATAAATGGCTCAGTGAGCCTCGCCTCTCTTGTCTCTTGCTCTTTGATCATCGGACTAGTGTACGGCTCCCTTGCTTGTTCTGTGCCTCCATTTGCAAGCTACACTACCTGTGGGACACCTACCCTGTGGACTGTGTCGCTATAATTTGAGGTTCCTTCAAGACCTGCTTCGCCACACCATTGGAATTTACATCTCTTGAGCTGGGGACTGTTGGACCCTGTCATCTGGCTGACTCTTGGTGACCTGCCTTGCTGTTTGCTGCCTATGCCCAGATAGCCTGAATTGCTCTACAGAGGACTACCTGGTGAACCTCAAGACTTGAAGGACTGCCAGTGTCTCACAACTGTCTCACGGGAGTGAGTTGCACTGAGCCATTTGTACTGCTTTAAAATTTAATTAACTGTTTATTTCTTATGTTTTATAGCTATTTATCTGTATATATGTATAAAATTATTAGTTTTGTTTCTCTAGAGTACCCTGTCTAATACACTACCCTCTTTATATTGCTACTCCCTCTACTGTTCCTGAGGGTTTTATCTGTCCTAAATTCCATGTGTCAAGAGCTCTTACCTGTACTAATGTGTGTACTCCCATCTAGCCAGATTTTTAAGGTAGAAGTGGGTTGTGGTAGTGGGGGTGGATGGGAGGGTTGGATGGTGGGAGTATTCATGAACTTGAGGAATGATGTGTGTTTCATCAGTGCTATACAGCACCATGGCTTAACTGTCCATTCCTTTTAACCCTTCTATGGTGGATGTCCAACTGTCTACAGCCCTTTGGGTCTCCACTCCAATCCCCCTCATTTACTT